ACTTCCCTTCCAACAACCTTTCTTTGAGCCAGATTGTGTCTAGAAGGGCAACCAGTTGGAAGGGGAACCAGCAGATGAAGAAGGAGGCCACGACTGCTGTGAGGACACGCAGGGGCCGGTTGGACGTCAGCAGGCCTCTTCTGTGGATCCTGGCGGCAAGGAGCCCATAGCAGACAGCCACCACCGCCATGGGTGCACTGAAGCCGACGAGGAAGCGGATGGCTCCTCGGGCCTTCAACACGGGGATGGCCACCCTGAGCCTGTCTTCCCTCGTGTCGCCCCAGGCCCTGAAGCTGAAGGTGCAGTACACGTTCCCCGCAGGGTCGCTCACGGTGGTTAAGAAGATGATCACCGGAAGGGTGAGGACAAGGGCCAGAACCCAGGGTGCCACGAGAACCTTGCGGGCCAGGCCCACTGAGCGGGAGTTCTGGGCCCAAATGGGATGCAGGACGCACACGCAGCGGTCCAGGGCAATGAATGCGATGAGGAAGACGCTCCCGAACAGGTTGACATCCACCACGATGTGGACAAACTTACAGAGGAACCAGCCGAAGGGCCACCTTTCCTTCATGGCCACTGAGACGATGAGGAATGGCAGTGTGGAGGTGAAGGAGAGGTCAGCCACAGCCAGGTTCAGGTAGCAGAGCGTGGTGACGGAGCGGGCCATGCGGAAGCCAGCTACCCACACCACCAGCCCGTTACCCAGCACGCCCAGCACGAAGGTGACCGCCAGCACTGCCAGGGAGAGCACCCACAGCACCGTGGAGTCCTGGGGGGTGGACGGCATCCCCATAGAGCCGTTCAGGAGAATGGAGAAGTTGGGTTCCATGATGCCGCACCTGGAACATTCCAACTCTGGGTCAGTTCAGCAGAGGGGGGGGGGCCCCTGGGGAGCCTATCCACCCCGGGCGGGGGGGCCCACAGCTGAGCCTTGGAAGCCTGCAAAACCCGCAAACAAAATGGAGCTCTCTTGGCTGGTCTTTCTATTTTGTTTATTTATTTAGTCAGTTGTGGGGTTTGAACTCAGGGCCTGGGTGCTATCCCTCAGCTCTTCAGCTCAAGGCAAGCGCTCTACCACTTGAGTCACAGTGCCACTTCCATTTTTCTGAGTGGTTCATTGGAGACCAGAGTCTCATGGACTTTCCTGCCTGGGCTGACTTTGAACCGCAATCCTCAGATCTCAGCCTCCTGAGTAGCTAGGATGATAGGTGTGAGCCACCGGCTCCTGGCTTCTATTTTTCTGTACAGCTGTAAATGTGTCATTTTGATGACAAAAGGTAACTGTAAGAATTGATGTAGTGATCCAAGCTACTCAGGAGGCTGAGATCTGAGGATTGTGTTTCAAAGCCAGTCTGGGCAGGAAAGGCCAAGAGACTATTATCTCCAATGAACCACCAGAAAAGCCATAAGTGGTGCTGTGGTTTAAGTGAGTCTTCAAGTGAGCGGAAGTCCTGAACAAAATAAGCTCAGGGACAGGCCTCAGGCCCTCAGTTCAAGCCTTGGCACACACAAAGAACATATGCGTGATTGCACGCACACGCACGCACGCACGCACGCATACACAGTGAAAACAGGAACCTTGTTATTTCACCAACTTCCTCTTGTGCTGACACCACCGGATGGGATCAGTTATCATGGAGTGTCAGGAACTGCTGTGTTCTACTCAGCTCTCAATTTGAGCCAACCATTCTAGCCAGTGGGAAGGAACAGGAGCAGTGGGAGACTTGGGAGGCGGGTTGGGCAGGGGGTATGGATGGTGCCAACTTTCTGAACCAGAATCACTGGTGGAAACAGATTTGAACCCGCCCACCTCTGCTCGAGCATGAAGATGTGTTCATGTTAAGTGCTGGCTTATGATGCATCCTGAAAGATTTCCATTCAGGACCAGGCCTTCCTCCTTGGAAGGCAAATGGAAGCTGCAGCTATATGCAGACTAGTGGAAACAGGATCCAATCAGAAAGAAAGACATGCGATTGAGAATTCTTTATACTATCAAATGCTGTGTGTGTGTGTGTGTGTGTGTGTGTGTGTGTGTGTGTGTGTGTGTGTGTGTACGTCCCAGCAATGGGGGTTGAACTGTCATTTGGCTCTTTTGCTCAAGGCTGGCATTCTACCAATTTGAGCCATAGCACCACTTCTGGTTTTCTGGTAGTTAATTGGACATAAGAGTCTCATGGAGGGCTGGGAAGGTGGCTCAGTGGTAGAGCGCTTGCCTTGCATGCCTGAGGCCCTGGGTTCAATTCCTCAACACCACATAAGCAAAAAGAAAAGAACCCGGAAGTAGTGCTGTGGCTCAAGTGGTAGAGTGCTAGCCTTGAGCTGAAGAGCTGAGGGACAGCACCCAGGCCCAGAGTTCAGGCCCCACAACCAGACCACCCCCCAAAAAAAAAAGAGTCTCATGGACTTTTCCTGGTCAGGCTGGCTTTGAACTACAATCCTCAGATCTCAGCTTCCTGAGTAGCCAGGATGACAGGTGTGAGCCTCTGGTGCCTTGCTGGCCCTACCTGTTTCTTACCCCTCCTATGTCCACTCAGACCCTTATACTCCTCAGTTCACTACCATCTGGAGACTTTGCATGCTCTGCTCCTGATGTTTCCCAGCTTGAATTTTGTGTCCTCAGGGGTCTCATCTGACATGAGATGTAAGGCAGCCTCCCCTGATTTTTTGTCTAATTGCCCTTTTGTTCCTGTATTGCCCATCCCCCCACACTGTGCTACAGGAAGCTAACTCTACAACACTACCAAGTTCATTTGGCCCTGTCCCAAAGCCCATTTTCCATAGAAACACCACGGGATCAGGAACACCAGCCATGTATGTCAGTTACAATTTATTTTTTTACTTTGTTTCACTCAGTTACCTAGGGTGACCTTGAACTTCTGATCAGCCTGTCTCTACTTTCTAAGGGCTGGATTTTGGGTGTGGACCACCATACTCAACCATCAGTTTAACAATTTCCTAAAGATTATGTCCAAAACAAAATTTTATTTTATTTTGGGTCCAGTCGTGGGGCCTGAACTCTGGGCCTGGGTGCTGTCCCTAAGCTCTTCAGCTCAAGGCTAGTGCTCTACCACTTGAGCCATAGCGCCACTTCCAGCTTTTTTCTTTTTGCTTATGTGGTGCTGAGGAATCGAACCCAGGGCCTTGAGCATGCAAGGCAAGCGCTCTACCACTGAGCCACCTTCCCAGCCCCAAAACAAAATTTTAAAAAGCAAGTCAACACTCTAGGTGAGCTGGTGGCTCATGCCTGTAATCAGGAGGCTGAGATCTGAGGATCATGGTTCAAAGCCAGCCTGGGCAGGAAAGTCTGTGAGACTCTTTATCTCCAATGAACCACCAAAAAACCCGGAGTGATGCTGTGGCTCAAGTGGTAGAGCACTCGGCTTGACCTGAAGAGCTGAGGGACAGCACCCAGTCCCTAAGTTCAAGTCCCAGGACCAGAAGAAAAAAAAAACTGTAGGAAAATTAACCTATTTTATTTAACTCATTGTAACCCAAATATCATTGGAATATGTTACCAAAATAAAAATGATTGATGAGATTATGGATTTTTTCCCATATTCATTCTTTGACTGTATCAAGGGTATTTTGTAGTTGCTTTTGCATTTTGCAGGCAGCTGGGGCCCCACAGGACAGGCGTGTATGGGACACAGAACGCGTGTGGAACCCAGGCAGCACTGCCTGCAAGTCCTGTCTGTCCTACCACAGGCCTTCAAACAAGTTGTTTTTTTTTTTTTGGTCAGTTGTGGGGCTTGAACTCTGGGTTTGGGCTCTGTCCCTGTACTCTTCAGCTCAAGGCGAACGCTCTACCGCATGAGCCACAGCGCCACTTCCAGTTTTCTAGTGGTTTATTGGAGATAAGAGTCTCACGGACTTTCCTGCCCAGGCTGGTTTTGAACCATGATCCTCAGATCTCAGCCTTCTGAGTAGCTGGGATTACAGGCATGAGCCACCGGTGCCCAGCTCAAACAAGTTTTGAATGGTCAGATCCTCCCAACTTACCACGGACTGAGGCCTCTTCCTGAGCCTGTTCCCCAGCTTCTTGTGGAGCCAGTCAGGTTCTCAGCCTTCAGCTGGGGCTGCCGGGAAGGACAAGGAGGAACGAATGAGGAGGAACGATCAGGAAACACAAACTTGGCCTTTCTTAAGGCTCCCTCTGTGGTCTGCTCCTGGGAAAGCACAATCCACACATCCGATATCCAGCCAGGCCCTCCAGATGTTCAGAGGCCCTTAGAACAGTTGAAGCAGTCGATGGGCAGGAGACTTGTGCAACTGAAGCAGAGATTTCCCCTGTGGGGGGGGCCCAGCCAGCCAGCCTGATGCCATTTCCCGTGGGCTTTGCCGAGATTTTGCAATGGGGGGGGGGTGCCACCCTGAGGGGAAGCCATTTCCATCTTTCCTCTTTTCTCCACCTCAAGAACTTTCCCCAGCACACATTGCCTGTGCCAGTCTGAGCAGGCTGGGGTCATGGTTTGCAAATCCGGGGAGTGCGGTCTGTCTGTGCATTCGCACACATTGGGAAACAGGTGGTCAGGAGGAACTGGCACCCCATGAGCCCAGCTTCCAGAAAAGCGATCAGATTTTGAACGACAACTTGGGCCCTGGTAATTCACACGCCTGTAATCTCAGCTCCTCCAGAGCCTGTCGGAGGATCCCAATGTCCAGAATTGGATCTCTCTCCTCAGGCCCTGGAGGGTGTGTGTGTGTTTGCTTGTCTTGGTAGTCCTGGGGTTTGAACTCAGGACTTTGGATTGAACAGGCAAGGGCTTGACCAAGCCACACCCCCCTCCCCAGCCCTTTAAGAAGTGCTCAGCCCACTCCCCAAATTCCAGTAAAACAGGGGTAACATTGGTATGTTCTAGGGGTCATCGTGAGTCACCAGGGGAGTCCTGGTTTCCTATTTCCTCTTGCCCCTTTGGTTTTACTTCCTCTACCCTGCCCTATTTATCTAGAGGTATCTTCTGCTGATGTCACACCAGCTAGCCGTTCTCCTGAGACCAGGACTTGGAAGGACCCTGAGCGAGTGAGCGAGCGAGCAAGAGAGAGAGTGAGCGTGAGGACCCCAGCTGCTGGAACATCCAGGTGGGGAACCCATTCTTTCTGGGTGGGGAGTGAGGGGATGGGCACTGTGTTGCATGATGAGGTATATAATCAATAGGTCTGGAGCGAACCACAGAGAAGTGAATCCCAACAACAACAACAGCAGCACTCTTTGTGAAGGAGAGTCAAGGAAAGTAAAGAGGGAAGTGAGACTGAAGAGCCATTTTGTGAAGGGTAAAGTGTTCCCACTCATATTATTATTAGGAATAATAGAGAGAGATTATCAGCCAGTGTTCGTAGCTCTTACCTAACATCTTAGCTACTCAGGAATCTGAGATCTGAGGATTTTTGTTCAAAGCCAGCCTGAGAAGACACATTGGAAAGATTTTTTTTTGTCAGTTGTGGGCCTTGAACTCAGGGCCTGGGCACTGTCTCTGAGCTCTTTTGATAGTATTCTACCACTTTAAGCTACAACAACTCCACTTCTGGTTTTTGAGTGGTTAATTGAGAGATAAAAGTCTCTTGGGGACTTTTTTGCTTGGGCTGGATTTGAACCAAGATCCTCAGATCTCAGCCTCTTGAGTAGCTAGGATTACAAGCATGACCTGTAATGAATCAGCAAAATGCTGGAAGTGGAGGTATGTGTGGCTCAGTAGTAGAGCTCCAGCCTTGAACAAAAAAGCTGAGAGAGGTCCTGAGTTCAAGCCTAAGTACTGGCACCAATATCTATCTATCTATCTATCTATCTATCTGTCTGTCTGTCTGTCTGTCTGTCTGTCTATCTATATGTGTATACATATATGTGTACATGTGTGTATACACACATATACAAACATATTGGTGCTGCAGAAAGATGTGAAGGAATAGAATGTTTTTGAGGGATTGGGCTGGTCAGACTTGGAGTGAGGATGGACCTTGGACTCTGACACTTGTTTCCAGAGATCAGTGGAAATACAGGTGTACCTCACCACACCCAGCTGGCTTCTTTTACTTTTTTCTTTTTTTTTCCCTCCTGCTGGTCCCTGGGGCTTGAACTCAGTGTTTGGGTGCTGTCCCTGAACTGTTTTATTTCATTAGTGGAAACTGTCCCTGAACTTTTTATTAATGGTAGATTTATTTATTTATTTGTTGGTCATGGGACTTGAACTCTGGGCCTGGGTGCTGTCCCTCAGTTCTTCAGCTCAAGGCTAGCACTCTACCACTTGAGCCACAGCACCATTTCCAGCTCTTTTCTGCTTATGTGATGCTGAGGAATCGAACCCAGGGCCTCAAGTATGCAAGGCAAGCACTGTATCACCATCTTCCCAGCCCGGTAGTTTTCGTTTTTACTTTTGGTTGGTTGTGGAGTTTGAACTCCAGACCTGGGCACTGTCCCCAAGCTCTTCAGCTCAAGGCAAGTGCTTTATCACTTGAGCCACAGCGCCACTTCTGGCTCCCCTTTTTTTTTTTGGTGATTAATTTGAGATAGGAGTTTCACGGACTTCCCTGCCCAGCCTGGCTTTGTTTGACCTGTGAACCTCAGCTTTCAGCCTCCTGAGTAGCTAGTATGACAAGCTTGAGCCACCAGCAGCTGGCTTCATTCCTTTTTATGGTTGAATAATATTCCATTGTATGGACATACCACAGTGTGTGTGTGTGTGTGTGTGTGTGTGTGTGTGTGCGCACGTGCGTGCAAGTGCTTTCTCACTGATGGACGCGTGGGTTGTTTCTGTCTTCCAGCTATTGTGTATAGCCTCAGCTGGATTGCCTGCCTTCCCTGTACTCATTCTTGCCCAGTGTTTCCCTCTGAGGGGCAAGGTTCTTTTCCAGGCAAGTAACCTGCCTAGTGGGCAGGGAAGCCCACCTGACAAGAGCTTGGCAATCTGTAGATATGGTTAGCTGCAGGGGTGGGGTGGGAGGGGGCATAAGGCAAGCTTGAGCCCCCTGCTGGTCAGTGTGGCAGCTTTAGAAGAAGGTGAGGGAGAATGAGAGGGAGAGGGGTATGGGCTGAGGGGTGGGAGGGGGGGAGCCGGTTTGCAGTTCCCCATCTCCAACCTGCCCCTGGCTACCTTCTAGGTGTGACGGCATGGAGGCCAACTTCTCCCTTCCCACCAATGCCACCGCCCCGGCTGTGCAGGCCGTCTCTGCTGGCTACGTGGCGCTGGATGCGTTCTCTTACTTGGTGATGGCGGTCACCTTCGTGCTGGGCGTGCTGGGCAATGGGCTGGTGGTGTGGGTGGCTGGCTTCCGCATGGCCCGCTCCGTCACCACACTCTGCTACCTGAACCTGGCTGTGGCTGACCTCTCCTTCACCTCCACGCTGCCGTTCCTCACGGCATCCAAGGCCTTGGGCCGCTGGCCCTTCGGCTGGTTCCTCTGCAAGCTCATCTTCACTGTGATAGATATCAACCTGTTCGGGAGCGTCTTCCTCATCGCGCTCATCGCCCTGGACCGCTGTGTGTGCGTCCTGCATCCCGTGTGGGCCCAGAACCATCGCACAGTGGGCCTAGCCCGCAAGGTCATCGCGGTGCCCTGGGCATGCGCTCTGCTCCTCACCCTGCCAGTGATCATCCGCGTGACAACGGTGCCCCAAGCCGGAGGACGAACGGCCTGCACCTTTGACTTCTCGCCTTGGACCCGGGACCCCGCGGAGAGGGCCAGGGTGGCGATTGTCATGCTGACCATCCGTGGGATCATCCGCTTCATCGTGGGCTTCAGTGCACCCATGGCGGTGGTGGCTGTCTGCTACGGGCTCATCGCTGCCAGGATGCGCCGTCAGGGCCTGCTCAGGTCCAGCCGGCCGCTGCGTGTCCTCTCGTTCGTGGTGGCCGCCTTCTTCCTCTGCTGGTGCCCCTACCAGCTCGTGGCCCTCGTGGCCACTGTCAGGATCCGGGAGCTCTTGGGCGGCGTGGGGAGCGATCTGGCAGTGGCTGTGAATGTGACCAGTGCCCTGGCCTTCTTCAACAGCTGCCTCAACCCCATGCTCTACGTGTTCATGGGGCGGGACTTCCGCCAGCGGCTGCTCCACTCACTGCCCGCAGCGCTAGAGAGGGCCCTGAGTGAGGACTCTGCCCAGACTAGCGACACAGGGACCAATGATGTGGCACCTCCCGCAGGAGCTGAGGAACGGGCAGTGTGAAGGCAGGAGGATGGGCTCCCTATCCCACTTCCTGCCTTGACTTACCTCGTGTCCACCTTACTGTCTGCTGAATTTAGGGTCAGCCATGCATAAGGGGGAAAAATACACTCCCTGATTTTGGGGAAAAATACAGTAGACTGCCGGGTGCCTGTGGCTCATGCCTGTCATCCTAGCTACTCAGGAGGCTGAGATCTGAGGATCATGGTTCAAAGCCAGCACAGGCAGGAACATCTGTGAGACTCTGATCTCTAATAAACCCCCAGAAAACCAGGAGTGGTGCTGTGGCTCAAGTGGTTAAGTGCTAGCCTTGAGCTGAAGAGCTGAGGGACAGTGCCCAGGCCCAGAGTTCAAGCCCCATGACTGACAAAACAAAAAAAGAACTATAGTAGACTGCAGGGGGGCAGAAGAAGAGCCAGTCCAAGCAAATGGAGCCAAGGCCAGGTCCCAGAGGCTCTGCTCACAGTGACAGCCTCGACCTGTCCCCTGTGGAGTCACACAGGTGGCCCCAGGCAGGATTTCAGGTCCCAGTTTTCCCAGGAGACTTGCACATGGCCAGATTGGGCCCCAGAGCTGGCCAGGTACCCAGTCAGAGGGGTAAAAGGGCATAGGGTGAGCACACCGGGGCTGCGTGGTGCCTGCGATTGAGCCTGAGGCCTGACACGGCCCACAAGAGTGCCTTAGCCATCTTGACAGTCCCACAGACACCTCCTGGAGACTCCCCCATGATTACCCACCACCACCACACAGCGCCCCAGGGGATGCTCTCCCCTTGCTCATCTTTCCCTCCAATAAATCTTTGCCTTCTGACTTGGCCCTCTGTGTCCCCTACTCATCCTTCAAGACCACAGGCAGACAAAGGCCCGGCATGGCTGTGTTTTGATTTCACTGCCACTGATGTCTTTTGTTTTTAATGGGGAGGGAGGGAGCATCTTGGCCTTGGGACAGTCAGAGGTGAGGAAAGCCAAGATGCCAAAGTGGCTGGGAGACAGCTGCTCTCCAGCTCCCAGTCCGACCTCAGCGAGCTCTCCTCTCCCAGAGGAGATTCTGTGGAGCAGGGCTGGCTTCTTCTTTCCTTTTCCTCCTCTTCCTCTGTCAGTGCATCCACTGCCACCTGCCATGCACCTGCATGGAGCCAGCTCCCTTTCCCCCTCCCCGCCCCCTGCCCCACAGGTAGGGGCAGTTCCCATCATGCAATCTCCCAGTACATAAGCCTGCCCTTTCCTACCACCACCACCCAGGCTGTTGGGAAATCAGGATGAACCTCAGTTCCTGTTACCCAAGCAGCCCCCAAGTCTGCCCACTCTCCCCACCCTGCCCCCCACCTCCGACTGTGGGGAAATTCCTGAAGCTTGCTCCCTGGCAGGCTGCCAAAACCACAGTGGGGAGGGGTCAAGTCCCTCAGCAGATCCAGGGTCGGGGAGGGGAGCTGTGGGGCCACTGGGGGGGAGCGGAGCTTCCGCTGTGAAGACAAGGCTTGTTACCTCACAGGAACAAGGAGGCCAAAGCACAAGGAGGGGCATAGGTGAAATGCCAGGTGTGACAAGTTAGACTCTGCTTCACAAATCTACCAGAGACATCCATGAGTGCCCTCTGCACTGGACCTAACAGCAAGCCATGTATGCTGGAGAGAGGAGAGGGGGAGAGAGAAGAAAGGGGAGAGAGAGAGAGAGAGAGAGAGAGAGAGAGAGAGAGGAAAGAGAAAAGGAGCCTCTCACGCCTATAATCCTAGCTACTCCGGAGGCTGAGATCTGAACCTGTTTCAAAGCCAGCCGGGGCAAGAAACTCCATGAGACTCTTATCTCCAAAGAAACTCCATGAGACTCTTATCTCCAACAAACCACTAGAAAACTGGAAGTGGTGCTGTGGCTCAAGTGGTAGAGCACTTGCCTTGAGCTGAAGAGGTGAGGGACAGCGCCCAGGCCTACAGTTCAAGCCCCATAACCAGCAAAAAAAAAAAAAGGAAAGAGGGAGAGGAGAGAGGGGAGGGGAGTGGAGGGGGGGGGAATGAGAACAGAAAGGGAGGGAAAAAGCAGAGCAGGAACATACACATCTGCAGGGCACAGGCCCGGTGGGGTTCTGAGATTAGAGATGAATGTGAACAGTTCCATTGTTTAGACACTATGTCATTTGCAGGGAATTGATGGGCCTAGAAGGGACCAGGTCTTGTGAGGAAAGCCAAGCGCTGAGACAGGGTGCACGTTTAGTCTCTCATGTGGAAGTTAGATCATACAACTGGATGTGGTAAATTCCACAGGACCCTAGACATCACACACACACACACACACACACACACACACACACACACACACACACACACACACACACACCGACTCAGACTAAAAGAGGATCCCCTTAGGGGAGGAAACCAGTGGTTGAGCTTCTCTGGACAGTTAAAATGCTATTTATCAAGCCGGGCACCGGTGGCTCATGCCTGTCATCCTAGCTGCTCAGGAGGCTGACATCAGAGGATCGTGGTTCAAAGCCAGCCCAGGCAGGAAAGTATGTGAGACTCTTATCTCCAATAAACCACTAGAAAACCAGAAGTGGCATTGAGGCTCAAGTGGTAGAGCACTCGCCTTGAGCTGAAGAGTGCAGGACAGTGCCCAGGCCCAGAGTTCAAGCCCCACAACCGACAAAAAACAAACAAACAAAAAAACTATTTATCGAAACGAATTCCAAGAACTGAAAACATGAGGTTTTGTTGTTGTCGGTGGTGGTGGTGTTTACTTTTGCTTTGGGGTGTTTTCTTTTTTGTAGAAATAAATGATTTTATTTATAAGAAAACAATATCACCAAGAAAACTGAGTATACATGAAAGAGACTGCAGGAATAATATTAGAGTTTTTACTCTCTCTACCTGTTGATGTGATTGTATTTCTTGATATTAAAACTCTCCTCTTGCTATTCTTATTGTATGTAATCCAAGTCTGTTTATTACTATGTATTCAATGTGGGAAGTCTAGCTTCAAAATTGTGTAAAGTTTTTTCCTTTTTAATCACAACATTGTCATTATCAGGGTACACTGTGGTCATCATCATCTTCATCAAAATTATTATTAGCATCATAAGTGCCAACTATTGAAAGTCTGATATGTATCTATGATTTTGCTATTTTTTGATTAATAATTTTAATGTTACCACTGTGCATGCATCCATATTAAAATTTAGAACAAATTAAGTAACAAAAAACTAAGCCAGGGGCTGGGAGGGTGGCTCAGTGGTATAGCGCTTGCCTTGCATGCTCGAGGCCCTGGGTTCGATTCCTCAGCACCACATAAGCAAAAAGAAAAAAGCTGGAAGTGGCGCTGTGGCTCAAGTGGTAGAGCGCTAGCCTTGAGCTGAAGAGCTAAGGGACAGCGCCCAGGCCCAGAGTTCAGGCCCCACGACCGGACCCCCCCCCAAAAAAAAACTAAGCCAATACAGGTAACTTGACTATGTGCTTATAACAAATTATGGAATAATTTTTTTTAATTTTTATATTTTTTATTGTGAAAATACTGTACAGAGGGGTTACAATTACATGGGTAAGATAATGAGCACATTTCTTATCAAGCAAGCATTGTAGCCTCCTGCTTTGTTTCCCCTTCCCATCCCTTCTTACCTCCCTCCCCGCCCCCACCGTCCCTCCCCCCACTAAAAGTTGTAAAGTTCGTTTTTCGACATAATGACTTGTACATTGCATTGTTGCAATGGGTCCTCCTGTATCCCTTTTTTAACAATTTGTTTTTTTCTTTTCCCCTCCACAAATACCAACATTTGTGGTTATTTTCTAAGGGGAGGGGACAAAGAAGGGCACAGACAGGGCAAGAGGAATGGTGGACAAATGCAGCCCTGGGGTTCAGCATATACTACATGGGAAACAAGCTGTGCCATAGTGGGAAGATGTGGGAGGAAGCTGGTGTAAGGGGAAAGAAGGGGTGGGATTGCCCCAAACAGAAATGCACTTATTTCTTCTCTGTATAATGCACTAGAAATAACAAATTATATTCTTTCTAAATAAAAAGGGAAGTTATGTCATAAAATTTAACAGTGAAATCAGTAATACCAAAATACAAAAGTAATAAAATCCACAAACTCACCACTTCCTAAATATCTGGCTACTGTCGATGAACAACGAAACTCCATCAGATGCCCTCCTAATCTCCACCTCTGCCTTGCTCATGAACATAGACAAAAAGTGGTCCCCACTTTCCTGTCTGTGGTCTTCCTGTTGCCACTGGAATTAGACTGAAAAAATATCTGGAGCTGGAGAGACTGGAGGGCCGAGGGTGAGATTCTTTTTTTTTTTTTTTGTATATCAATCCTGGGGCTTGAACTCAGGGCCTGACCAAATGCTGATGCTCTACCACTTGATCCACAGCTCCACTTCAGGCTTCTTGGTGGTTAATTAGTGGTAAGAGTTGCATGGGTTTTCCTGTCTGCGTTGGTCTTGAACCTGAATCCTCAGATCTCAGCCTCTTTAGTAGCTAGAATGACAGGTATGAGCCAATGGTGCCAGGCTTTCAATTTTTTTTGCGGGGGAGGGGGAGAGTTGATTGTGGGGCTTAAACTCAGGGCCTGGGCACTGTCCCTGAACTCTTTTGCTCATGGCTAGCACTCTACACTTGGAGCTACAGCACCACTTCTGGTTTTTTGAGTGGCTAATTGGAGAAAAGAGTCTCCCGGGGACTTTTTTGCTGGCTTCAATTGATGATCTTAGATCTCAGCCTCCTGAGTAGCTAGGATGACAGATGTGAGCCACCAGTGCCCGGCTTTCTGTTTTTATTATCATTGATTAGTTGTGTGAGGGAATTTTGCCTCAGTGTGTCCATTTGTACACATGAGGCGTGGTGACAGTCACCTCCTCAGCTGGCCCTCCCTTCCCAGGGGTGTCCTCCCCTCTCTGGGGCGCCCTCTGCAGGCAGGTGGGGGGACCAACAATCCTCATCCTGGCCAGGGGTTTCCTAGGCAGCTCAGGGGTTTCCCGGAATCTGGGAATCTGGCAGGAACGGCCTGGCCTCATTCTAGCTCAGCCATTCTCTCCAGACTCCAGTGGGAGCCCACGGCTCAAGCTGTCAGAGTTCCTGGAAGTTCTTTGAAAACTGAGATTTTTGCCAGTCCTGAGTACTACCCACCCAGGGGTCTGGGAACTCCTCATCCCCCCCTTCAGATGGGGACAGAGGGGGTTCCCAGGGTCTAGGCTCTCTCCTTCCTCCTCCTTTCTCCTTTCCCCTCTGCCTCCATGGGAAAAACCAGGATCTGAGAACCTGACTCTGTCCAAGAAGAATCCCAGCCAGGCCACATGGTTCATAGTTCAAAGCCGACGTGGACAGCAGAGTGCATGGGACTCATTATCTCCAATAAATCACCAACAAGGCAGAAGTAAGTGGAGCTGTGACTCAAGTGGTAGAGCACCAGCCTTGAGTGGATTAATGTAAGGGACAGTGCCCAGGCTCTGAATTCAAGCCCCAGGGCTAGCACTAAATAAATAAAAATTGAAGAGTTCTGCACTGGGGACCCTGTGCCTCCGCCCACTTGGTCTTCGTGGAAGGCACGCAATTTCTTCCTCACTCTACCTCCACCCTCACCCCCTAACCATCAAATCAACCTTGACTGCTGCCTCCTCTGGGCAGACGCCCTGATGTAGCAGGGTTGGATCATTCCTGCCCTGGCGTGGGGTCCTCTATTTACACAGCTGCCTCCTCCATCAGATTGGGCTCTCCACAGGGCAGGGCCCTGCTGAGTCACCCTGTGAGCCTGGCATGGCCCAGCCTAGCTGGGGCATACACGTTCCCTGTGCTGATCTCCATTCTGGACTTCTCTCCCCCATCTCTTCCCTGGGTCCTGTGAACCACTGGCTCAGGTCTGCTCCTGATGGCTGACACCTCAGGAAAGCCCCAGACTGCACTGTGGGGAGGACTCTGGGGGCGGTAGTTGGGAGATGGGGCCGGGGAGGGGGTCTCCGCCAGAGTGGGGGCACCCCAGTTTCGGCCCTCCATCACTGGTTCTTATCTTTGCTGCTTCAGGCCCAGGTCACCTATTGCTGCAAGGAATTCTGGGAGACCAGATGGGGCTCTAGGGGCCAGACGGCTGGATGCAGAGCACAGCCTGGGGCTGGGACTTCCGGTGGAGGAAAACACGGGGCCCTCAAGTCCCCTTCTCCCCTGCTTAGGCAGGCTCTGGTTTTAGAAACATCTGGTTTTATACAGCTGCTCCGCCTGACCAGCAGGGCAGGGTCAGGGTCAGGCAGCCAAATGCCCAGCTTCTGGGTGGAGCCTGCTCTGTGCCCTCCCATCGGCCTCCACGCCTGAAGATCATCCTCCACACATAGCCAGACCCCAGGGCTGGGCGATGCCCCAGCAAGACTTGGCCCCACGGGGCTTTTTTTCCCTGATGGCCTGGCTCAGGCGATGGCTGGACCTGGCACCAGCCGGGGAAACCCAGGGCGTGAGGACTTGGCTGTGTGAGGAAAGCTCACTGGAAGAGACAGAACAAGAATTCGTGCAATACACAGCGTGACTCACAGCCGGGGAAGTTGAACAGAACCAGAGGCAGGGATGTGGCCGCTGAGGGACCAGAGGCAGGCAGGCAGGCAGATGGACGGACGGACGGGCAGACAGACAGACAGGCAGACAGGTGGGTGGATGGGGAGATAGACATGATAGCTAGAAAGAAAGATACAGAGAAGGGGGGGGGGAAACACACAGGAAAGATGAGAAACTCCGAGTATCACCAATAAGAAAGTCAGTGGGGATGAGACATGTGGAGACACCCAGAGCAAAATAGAGGATGGTGGGAGGAGAAGAGAGGAGAGGGAGAACAGAAAAAGGGACAGGAGGGGAGGGGAGGGGAGGGGAGGGGGGAAAGGGAAGGGAGAATTTCAATGATTAGAATCTGGAGAGCCAGAGACTCAGACCTGAAGAATGGCCAGCACACCCGTTCACAGTAAGAGCCATCAGTACATCTGTTCACAGTAAGAGAGATCAGCACACCTGTTCACAGAAAGAGCATGGACAGCTATAGTCTCAGACAAAAAAATATATATATATTTTATTCTATTTTTTTGGGGGGGTCTGGTCGTGGGGCCTGAACTCTGGGCCTGGGTGCTGTCCCTCAGCTCTTCAGCTCAAGGCTAGTGCTCTACCACTTGAGCCACAGTGCCACTTCCAGCTTTTTTTTTGCTTATGTGGTGCTGAGGCATCGAACCCAGGGCCTCATGCATGCAAGGCAAGCACTCTACCACTGAGCCACCTTCCCAGCCCATCAGATAAAATATTTTAAAGGGAAAAAATTCCTGAAAAGGTGGCTGTGGAATAATGACATTTATCACTGGTCTTCTGGCCCTGAGAAGCCAGGGACCCAGATGTCCCAGGTCCCCAGCTCTTCCCTACCCTTCCTCTGACGCAGTTTCCCCAGTGTGTCAGAACGAGGAGAGCCTAGGTCATTCCCTGTAAGTAGCTGACCAATAAATGAATCAGTTCCAGTTCTAGACCTCAACTCTCTACTCCAGACACTGGCATGTGTGTGTGTGTGTGTGTGTGTGTGTGTGTGTGTGTGCCTGGCATGGGACAGACACATTCACTCCTGGAAGCTGTGCCTCACAGCAAGCACATACGGTCACACACACACACACACACACACACACACACACACACACGTGTATGCTTTTTGTTGTGTCTGAGCTGTGTTCCCAGACTCCTGTCCCAGACTAGGGACAGGAGGGGTGGGGGGCAGAGAGATGCAGCATGGGGGGTGAGAGGGGAAAGAGAGAAGAGGAGAGGGAAAGAGAGGGGCAGGGAAATGGGAGGAAGAGAGAGGAAGAAAAGTGGGGAGAGAGATCAGGACAGAAATACAGAGATACAGAAAAAGGGAGACAGATGTGGGGAGGACAGGGAGGGGCGGGGAGGAGAAATGAGGAATTGGGGAGTGAAAGGAAATACAGGTCTGGGGCAAGGTTGTCATGAGGAGGACTCCGCAGATCCAAGGGAGAAGGGAGAAGGGAAACAGAGGAGGGGCTGGGGGGCTGAGGATCAGGCGGGGCAGGAGGCCCGTCTGGGGGGGAGGGGCGATGGCGGGAAGCGGGTGGGGCTGCCTGGCTGCCTGACCTCAGAGCCCCTGGCCGGACTTTGCCTGACGTCAGCTCCCCGTCAGCTCTCCATCACCTCTCCTCCGCCCCCGCCCGTGCCAGTCTTCAAATGACCCCACCAGAGCCACACAGGGCAGAGACTGCAGTCCAAGCTCAAGACCAGAGAGGGAGAGGACCCCGTCGGACCACAACCATGACACAGGTGTGTGCGCGCGCATGTGTGTGTATATTACATGTATGCATATAGGGAATGGGCCCCTACCTGGAGATCTTGGGTGTCAGGAAGGGTGTGTGAATGCATGTGCTGGGACAGAATCTATGAACTCATGTGTGCACAGGTGCATGGCAGCACAAACAGATGAGGCTGGTAAGGTCCGAGTTGCTGCACAGGTTTAGTCAGCTATGAGTCCTGGAAGGCCCTTGAACTTCAGGAATGGAGGAGAAAGAAAGATAATGAAAGAAAGAATAACAAGCGAACTGGGTGCTGGTGTCTCACTTTTGCTATCCTAGCTACTACTCAGGAGGCTGAAATCTGAGGATCATGGTTCAAAGCCAGCCTAGGCAAGAAAGTTCATGAGACTCTTATCTCCAATTAACCACTCAGAAAACAAGAAGTGGTGCTGTGGCTCAAGTGGTAGAGCACTCACCTTGAGGTGAAGAGCTGAGGGACAGTGCCCAGGCCCAGAGTTCAAGACCCACAACCAACAACAACAACAAAAAAAGAATACAAAAAAAAAAGAATAAAGAGTGAGCCAGACAGACAAGCAGCTGGTGACGTGTGTCTGTAGCACATGAATCTGATGTTCCATTTTGTCTGTTCAACAAATGTGGGGTTGAATCAAATAAAATACCCAGATCCAGCTGCTCTCAGCCTGGGGGTGGGGGGGTGGGGAAGGCAACTACAAGTGACTCAGTTTCATCATAACAGTTTAACTCCTGTGTGTGTGTGTATGTGTGTGGGTTGTGTGTGTCTATGTGCTGGTCCTGGTGATTGAACTCAGGACCTGGGCACTGTCCCTGAGCTTTTGTGCTCAAGGTTAGTGCTCTACCACTTGAGACACAGCTCCACTTCTGGCTTTTTGGTCATTCACTGGAGTTAAGAGTGTTATGGACTTTTCTACCCGGGCTGACTTTGAACTTCGATCCTTAGATCTCAGTCTCCTGAATAGTTAGGATTACAGGTGAGCCAGTGGTACCTAACCTATTTCTTCTGGAAGCTCCTGCTCTGTCCCTTGGCCCCAGAGCCTCTGTGTGTGTGTGTGTGTGTGTGTGTGTGTGTGTGTGTGTGTGTGTGTGATCTTGCCTTTCTGCTGCCAAAGGGTGGGTGTCCTGTGTATCTGAGGTCTGTGCCGATGTGTGTGGCATGTGTGTGGTGTGTGTCATAGGATCGCTGCATTCTGCCTGAGACTTGGAGCCTAAGGTCACCTCACAGAACACAAGTGCTGTCAGTGTGTCCCTTGGTGTGTGTGTGTGTGTGTGTGTGTGTGTGTGTGTGTGTGTGTGTGTAAAAACCTCTGGTTGCTGCTTGAACTTCAACTCTCCAATCCCCTCCCCTCCCACGCCACCTCCAGCCAGCTACAGCAAGGACTGATGTGAGGCAAAAGGATAGGAGGATGATTCTAGAAGAAAAAATAATTGTTACTGAGCAGTTAAAATTTCTACCTCCAGCTGGGCATTGTATCTTCCACCTGGAATCCCAGCTGCTTGAGAGGCTAGGCCCAGAAGCTCGGGGTGAGTCTGCACAAGATAGCTTGTTGTTGTTGTTGAAGAGATGCTGTTAAACTGGGCGGTGCCAGTGGCTCATGCCTGTCATCCTTGCTACTTAGGAAGTTGAGATCTGAGGATCATGGCTTGAAGCCAACTAACCCAGGCAGAAAAATCCATGTGACTTTTATTTTTTTATTTATTTATTTTTTTGCTGGTCCTGGGGCCTGAACTCTGGGCCTGGGCCCTGTCCCTCAGCTCTTCAGCTCAATATTAGTGCTCTACCACTTGGGCCACAGTGCCACTTCCAGCCTATTCTGCTTATGTGGTGCTGAGGAATCGAACCCAGGGCCTCATGCATGCAAACCAAGCACTCTAGCACTTAGCCATCTTCCCAGCCCCCATGTAACTCATCTCCAAAGAACCACCAAAAAAGCTGGAAACAGAGCTGTGGCTCAAGTGGTAGAGCAGCAGCTGTGAGCAGAAGAGCTCAGCGACAACACCCAGCCCCTGAGTTCGAGTCCCAGCACACACACACACACACACACACACACACACACACAAGCCTGGAGGAAGCCTGGAGGTCTTCCCAGAGGAGGTCAGAGGAGGCCAGCACCGGAGGCTCACCTTTCCTTTCCCTCCTCTGCTCCCCGCAGGATTCGCCCAAGCCCTCTGGGCCTGCGCACCGCTTCTCAGGCCTGGCCCGCCGGGTGCTGACCGTGGCCTTCGCCCTGCTCATCCTGGGCCTCATCACTTGGGCCTATGCGGCGGGCGTGCCCCTGGCCACGGACCGCCACGGCCTGCTGGCCTTCGGTCTCTACGGCGCCTTCCTGTGTGCGCACCTGGTGGCGCAGAGCGCCTTTGCCTGCCTGGAGCACCGGCGTGCAGCGGCGCGGGCGCGGCGGGCCCCG